TCTGCAAACAAGGACCTTTTGATCCCTTTCCCCTTTCCCTTTGTGTTCACATATACCAAGAAAAAGCACAGGTCCTAGGACTGACCCCTGGGAACCCCGCTTGTCACAGGCGCCCACTCTGAACCTCTTCGCGTAACCTGACCCTTTTTGCCCCCCTGTCAGGTATCTCTGATCCATTTAGTCCTTTCCTGTTATGTGTGCCGGTCCTCTAGCTTTTGCGTAACCTCTTTTGAGGAACTGTGTCGAAGGCCTTCTTTCAGTCCAAAAATATGTAACCCATCCACCCCTCTCTCTCTTGTCTTACCTTTTACCTGTCAAAAACTCTGTAGTTTGTGACAAGGATTTTCCTTCCCGAAACCGTGCGGTTGTTAATTATACAAATGTTTCTTCCAGGGCCCCACCCCTTCATCCTGATATCTTCTCCCTGCCTTGCATATTGCAACTTACACGTTATGATACCCTCTGTAGTTTAGTGCCTATGTCTTCTCCCTTTTTTAAAAATTGGATACATTTTCCATTTTCCTACCTCAGGGGGTTTCCCAGTTTCAAATGATGTTTGAAGATCTTTTGTTTAAGGCTCACACAATATTTCTGCTCCCTCTTTAAGGATCCATGGAGAGATATTGTCTGGTCCCACCGCCTTTGAGGTGTCAAGTTCGCATAGTAGCTTCTTCACCTCCTCCTTGTTATATGTACCTCATCCAGCACTTGCTGTGTGTGCCCCCCTGTTCTGATTTCTTGGAGTCCTACTGGTTTCCACTGTAAATTACCTCTTTAAATCTTGTGTTGAGCTCCTGACAAACCTCTCGGTCGTTTCTTGTGAATTCCCCATCACCCTTCCTCAGTCTGATTACCTTGTCCTTGACTGTTGTTTTCCTCCTGATGTGGCTGTACAACAGCTTTGGGTCAGTCTTTACTTTTGATGCTATGTCATTTTCATATTGTCTCTGAGCCTCCCTTCTTATCTGTGCATATTCGTTCTGCTCTTCGGCTGATTTCTTTATTTTCCTCAGTTCTCTGTCTTCTGTACCTTTTCCATTCTCTAGTACACCTAGTTTTTTGCCTCCCTACACCTTTGGGTGAACCAAGGACTCGTTCTGTTCTTCCCATTATTTTGTTTCTCTTGGAACAAACCTCTCCTCTGCCTCCTTGCATTTTGTTGCTACATAGTCCATCATTTCTTGTACTGGTTTTCCTGTCAGTTCCCTCTCCCACTGAATGTCTTGAAGGAAGTTCCTCATGCCTGAGTAGTTTCCCCTTTTGTAGTTTGGTTTTTCCCAGCCTATTCCTGCTACTCTCTCCACTTGGTCTCAACTATGTAGTCGAAGCACAGAACCACATGATCACTAGCTCCCAGGGGCCTTTCATGCATGATACCCTCGATGTCCGAACTACTCATGGTGAATACAAGGTCCAACCTTGCTGGTTCATCCTCTCCTCTTTCTCTGGTAGTGTCTCTAACATGTTGAGGCATGAGGTTTTCCAGTACCACATCCATCATCTTGGCTCTCCATGTTTCGGGACCCCCATGGGGCTCCAGGTTTTCCCAGTCAATCTCCTTGTGATTGAAATCACCCATAACTAGTAACTTTGCTCCCCCCATGTGTGCTCTCCTGGCCACCTCGGCTAGTGTGTCGATCATTGCTCTGTTGCTCTCATCGTATTCTTCTCTTGGTCTCCTGCAGTTCTGTGGTGGGTTGTACATTACTGCAATTATCACCTGTGTGTGTGTGTGTGTGTGTGTGTGTGTGTGTGTGTGTACTCACCTATTTGTGGTTGTGTGTGGTTGTGTGTGGTTGTGTGGTTTGTGTGTGTGCGCGCGTGTGTGTGTGTGTGTGTGTGTGTGTGTGTGTGTGTGTAAAATTTATTAATCAAATAGGGTTAAAGCCAAGAAAAATCTAATAAATACACAAAGAAACATTCAATCAGAGTAAAGAACAAAATATACCTAACTGGGCGCTAAGCAATACCAACACATGAAATATAAAACATCTGATTCCCGACGGTAGCAGTCGGTTGGCAGCTCTAGTTACCAAATGATCCACCAGTAGACTGTCAAGACCTATGGCCGTGCAACAAGAGGAAGTTAGATGGAAGCACTCAAGACAGTGAAACAGATGGGACGTAAGAGTCTGCAGCCTCCACACGTAGCGTCATAGGTTCATCCAGAGTCGAGAATAAGTGTTGCACAAATTCGTTTAGAATGACGGGTTCTAGCTATTTTCCACTCGACTAGTATGTCTGATTAAGAAACCTGTTGCCGTCTGGCAGACAGGCGAGATAAGTCTAGTTGACAACGGCAGCTGATGTCATAATTTACAGGAGTTACGGCTGCCTCCCATACAGAAGTGGCAGGGATTGGTAAGCAGAAAACTCAACAGCTGCAGTGGCCAGGTAGCCTCTTGTCTCCCACGTTGTACCCGTGACGCAAATTGTAGTACACGGGCTGAAGGAGAGAAATTCAACAGATAATACAAAATTCAGATCTCTACAACAACAGTTGTCCTCAAAGGTTTGTTAAGACATACCATGAATTAAAGAAAGATCCTGGACTTCAATTTACGAAACAGACAAAGCAAATAAGAACATAAGAAAGAACACTGCAACAAGCCTACTGGCCCATGCGAAGCAGGTCCAGTTCACCCACCGGCTTAAGCCAATTCCTTAAAGTAAACAGGCCAGGTCACATTCCCTAAGGAAGGAGCACGGCAACTGACCTAGTAGCACAAGCTAGTCAGGTCCAACTCACACCCACTCATGTATTTATCAAACCTATTTTTAAGACTACACATCGGGAGCTAGAGACGGGTCATCACAAGATTGAGACCCGTGCCAGGACTACGGTCTTGGCGAACATTATACATACATACAGACTACACAACGTCCTAGCTTCTATGACGATACTCGGGAGTTTCTTTCACTCATTCACAACACTATTACCGAACCAGTGCTTTCCTATATCCTTCCTGAACCTGAATTTCTCCAACTTAAATCCATTGCTGCGAGTCCTGTCTTGGCTAGATACTTTTAGCATGCTATTTACAACCCCTTTATTAATTCCAGTTTTCCATTTATACACCTCAATCATATATTCCCTAATTCAATGCCTGTTTAGAAAGTGCAGATTCAGGGCCCTCAGTCTGTCTTCATAGGGAAGATTTCTGATACATGGGATCAACTTTGTCATCTTCCTTTGTACGTTTTCCAGAGCATTTATATCCATTCTGTAATACGGTGACCAGAACTGAGCAGTATAGTCTAAATGAGGCCGAACCAAAGATATATAGAGTTGATGAACAACCTGAGGACTTCTATTATTTATACTTCTTGATATGAAGACAAGGATTCTTTTAGCTTTATTGTGAATTCACCACTTATGCACTGTTGTCTTGGTTTCAGATTACTGCTAACCAGAACTAAATCCTTTCCGCAGCCAGTAATATTAAGATCTACATTATTTAGTTTATATGTGGCATGGTTATTTTCTTGTCTAACATTTAGGGCATTGCATTTGTCTATATTAAACTGCATCTGCCACTTCTCCGACCACTGCATCAGTCTGTTTAAATCCTGGAGTGCTCTGTCCTCATTAGAATGAATTGGACGGCCTACTATGGTGTCATCAGCAAATTTGCTTATATTGCTATGTATTCCTTGTATGTCGTGTATGTAAATTGTGAACAACAAGGGGCCCAACCTTGACTCCTGTGGAACACCTCTTGTGATGTGCCCCCATTCTGATTTCTCCCAATTTATGCAAATTCTCTGCTGCCTATTTGTCAACCATGCCTCTACCGAGGAAGAAAATTTTTCCTTATTCCGTGTGCCTTAAGTTTCCTCAACAGCCTCTGATGTGGAACTCTATCGAAAGCCTTACAGAAGTCCATATACACAATATCATGTTCAAACCATGATCAACCTCCTCAAACACCTTAATGAAAAAAGTTGGTAAATTCGTAAGACAGGAACGTCCCTTTGTAAAACCATGTTGAGATTCATTAATCAATTTATGCCTTTCAAGATGACTACAAATTGCCTCGGTAATTATTGATTCCATAAATTTTCTCACTATGGAGGTAAGGCTTATTGGTCTATAGTTCAAAGCTAAGGAATTTTCACCTGCCTTGTAAACAGATATTACATTTGCCATTTTCAACTTGTCTGGCACTATGCCAGTTTGTAGTGATATATTGAAAAGATTAGCCAAAGGTATGCTAAGTTCCTCTTTACATTCCTTTAACACCCTTGCAAACAGTTCATCAGGGCCTGGGGATTTGTTTGGTTTTAATTTCTCTATTTGCCTGAGGACCATGTCACTAGTTACTGCAATCGTGCATAGTTTATTATCGTCCTGTTCTACGTAATTTATTATTTCTAGAATTTCTCTAGTATCTTCCTGAGTAAAAACTAAGAGGAAGTAGGTGTTGAAAAGTTCACACATTTCCTTATCACTGTCAGTGATCTGACCTGAGTAACTCTTAAATGGACCAATCTTGTCCCTAATCTTACTTCTGTATACCTGAAAGAACCCTTTCGGGTTAGTCTTCGAATCCCTTGCAACTTTAGCCTCATAATTCCTTTTTGCTTGTCTTATTCCTTTTTTTATTTGCCTCTTTAACTGAATATATTGATTTCTTAACTGCCCATCCACTCTTTTGATACGCCTATATATGCCTCTCTTTTGACCAATGAGATGTTTTAATCTATTGTTCATCCATTTCTGATCATTTTTGTTAGATCTAATTTCCCTACTCGGAACAAAAGTTGTCTGGGCAGCTAGAACTATGCTCTGAAAAACGTCATATTGGCAACCAACCCCACCCACCCACCAAGTTAGCCCACCCAGGTAATTTCTCAGTCCCATAAAGTCTGCCAAGTAGAAGTCTGGGTAATTCCATGATATATTGAAACTAAGTGATCTGTGACCGCTTTTCCCAAGCTCATCGTTAACCTCAAGATTATTAACTAGCGATTCCTTGTTGGCAAGAAACAAGTCAAGCATGCTTCTTCCTCTAGTAGGTACTGTCATAAACTGTTTTAAAAAGCAATCCTGAACCGTATCAAAAAAGTCACCAGACTCAAGATTTCTTGTCACATTGTTCCAATCAATTTGTCTGAAGTTAAAATCTCCCATTAATGCAACATTTTCGTATCTAGACACCTTATGAATTTTGCCTCACAGCAGTCTACTGCACTCCCTATCAAGTTTTGAGGGCCTATAAATCACACCCAAAATTAATTTTTCACGACGTTCGAGAAACTGTAGCCAAACAGATTCCGTGTCTGATGTTTCTAATCTTATATCTTATCTAACACAACAATTTAAATTATCTCTGACATACCTCGCCACTCCACCACCCTTCCTGTTGACCCTATCAGTGCGGAATAGTTTATAACCCTGTATGTTGCATTCAGAAGGCATTTCTCTATCTTTCAAGTTGAATCAGCTCTCCATTATAGCAATATCTATATTACTTTCTCTTGCAAGTAATCTTAGCGCTTTCACCGAGTGTAAGTTCTCAGGTATTTTCATTTGTCATTTTGGACTTATGTGACATATTTTATTTTCTGCAGTTCTTTAAAAGAAATATATTGTTTTCGTATTTTTAAAACTGGCCAGAGCATCTCCAGCATAACTACCAACAATGAACAGCTTAAGAGTTACAAATATAAATGTCAAATTAGCATCTACACAGCCCAGTTCTTCCTATAAGATAAATCTTTGTTGAAAATTTGAAGTCATTTAGAAAAGACGTAATTCATTGTACAGAAAATATTCCATTTTCAGTGAAATAATGAAACTGGTGCACACAACCCAGATGTTAGTACATGTTCATGTTAATACAGGTGACTACTTTAAATATGATGTATCAATGTTTATAGATTAGACGAGGAATTCTAGTTACTGCCTAGACACCAGCAATTAGATCATCGGTATTTAATACAGTTAAGATTGAGAGACGTGTGCACTACCTGGATACCTTCATTTAAGAGACGTTTCACCCACTATGGAGTGATTTTTATCAATCTACGTCTAAATAAATCAGAGAACGCTTAGACTGCTAGAATAATTTACTCACTGCTGTGTTGCATACAGGTGAAAACGAGCCTAGAGGAGTACGTGCGCCGTGAAGCAGTGCGTGGAGTGGTAGTGCTAACTTGCTGTGGGTCCCTCACTAGTGCTACACTCCGTCTCGCTGCTGCACCAGACGGTACCACTGACAAGGTAGGTACTCGCTAGGTACCACACTTCCAGCACTGTAGTAGTGCTGAGAAGGCAGCTAGCCAGAACACCAACACTTATAGTGCTGAGAAGATGTCCAGCTAGCACACCTCCAGCAACCTAGTAATGCTGAGGTCGCTAGCTAGCTCGCCTGCAACACTAGTAGTGCTGAGGTCGCTAGCTAGCTAGCCTGCAACACTAGTAGTGCTGAGGTCGGTAGCTAGCGTAATGTTCTCTCTATTTATGAGACATTTTAACCATCCAATTGAGTTTCAAAAAGGCGGAGAAAGTTGTATCAATGGGGTTGAGAGATACATAATTTAATTAAGCTTCATAAAAAATAGTTTTGATTTTAATATGAATATTGGTTTAGTTATACAAATTAAATTCATTTATAATTAATAAAATTTGGGATGAATTTAAGCTATGACAAGTCCTCGACCATCCCACCTGCATCATAATGGGACGGGTATAATGTATGTAACATCTCAGCCTTGATAATTAAAGAAATCACGAAAGGGCTCGGAATTTAACTTTTTTCACAGTAATATTGTATATATATATATATTAACAATGCAAGGAATTCGCAAGAGCTGGCGAAATATACACAAGCACTGATCTCTGGCTGAAGGAGAGTCGAACCTACGAGTTTGTGTATATTTCGCCCGCTCTTGTGAATTCCTTGCATTGTTAAAATTTCTAGTAAGGCTGCTGCATGCAGGATATGAGATGAAAAGCTGTAAGCCTTCTTCCTGAAAGCTGGCTGCCTTGGATCAACGTGTAGCGCAAGCTACACGCCAAGGTATTGTCCAGTGTGGGTAGATTGGTATAGCACTGCGTACTTTGTTCTAAAGTTCGTAGGTTCGAGTCTCCTTCAGCCAGAGATCAGTGTTTATAATATATATATATATATATATATATATATATATAGGATGGGGTCCACCTCTGGTGTAAATTGTGGGACCCACAGCCTCGGAGAAGTGGATAAAAAGGTTTCAAGGAAGAATATTTGGATTTCTTCCTGAAAGCAATCTGAATATTCCGCTTACCCTACCACCCCATCTTTTCATTCTTTTTCACCAATAGATGTATTTTATTACATAATACAGTACAAAAGATTTAAGAGCTACATTGCTGATACAAAGATGGGATATACAGTATATGAGGTGTGAGAGATACATGTCTAGTACATATTATGTGTTTGTCACTGATAATGCGAAAATCTCATCCAGCTCCTCAGAGCTGGGGCGTGTGCCCAAAATACAGCAGGCATTACCCCTCTGAACAGCAGCGCTGAGTCGCTGGAACAGAAAACTAGCTGCCCTGGGATCCCTAGTTACCGTGATGAGTCTTTTGCCTAGCTCCTTAAGGAACTTAGATGCACTCTTTCCCCATGACCCAAGGATCTCTGAGCCTATGGGAACAAACATATAATAACGGGCAAGTTCTCCGTATTTATTAGAATTTAGGGACTCCCTGAAGCTGGCTGCTGCCCCTCCTTTCTCCCTGGTGTATTGGAGATAGGTATCAGCCGGGTAGATGCACATGTGTAGTCCCACACCACCTGCTTGCCATCTGTCCAGGCTTGAAGGGTGATACCATCTGGACGCTTCTGGCTGCCATCAGATCTGCATAGTTGGGGTGGCTCCCTTACTGCTGGGCATCCGGCTGTTGTGAGGCTCCCCTTGATAAAGTTATTGACCTCGTCTTGTAATCTTTCCATCGGATTTACGGCACACAAGACCATGGTACCCGAATCGGTCTGCTGCTTCACTGTCACAAATACATTTGTGTTCGGCGAGAATAGGGGCGGCAAGTCGAAGGGCAACGCCAATGCGGATGGTCTGTGGGTCGAGGCGTGTGCCAAGGCTCTCAATGCTAGGAGGCGGGCTCTCTCCTTCCCTGACACACTCTGAAGCATTGTTGAGGCTATATTCTCCACTATTGGGCCACCCCAGTGCGACTGCTTGTAGTTGTTGGGGGGAGCAGGTCTGGTTTCAGAGCCTGTTAGATTATCTCAGATCATGGCTCCATCACTGAACTTTTGGTCCCGGACTCCAATCTTGTCCCTAAGATGTTCAGGGAGAATCGCTGCTACAAGCTCTCTGGATGTAATACATGAGGACAGAAAAGCAGGTAGCGCAATCTGTGATGACTTGCGGACACCAATGCCTCCTAGTCCGACTGGAAGTGTAGCTTGGTCTGCCCATCTTCTAGAGTAAGGTTAAGTACTTTCGTAAAAATCTGCCTCAGGATACTGTCATATTCGTGCAGTATTGGGTTATCATATGAAGGTGCACATCTTAGGAAATATGTCAACCTGGGCAGACTCAAGCAAGCGCTTTGTGAGAAGGTACAAGGCATCGTGAGCGTCAAGATTGCCTATTCGTTGTTCCATTCTCCTCAATTCTTCCACTTTCTTCCCAAGAATTGTGTCAACGGCATCGCTTCCCAGAGGTGCTCCAAGCAAGACGCTATTTGTAGGGTAAGTTTATTTGGGGCAATGACTGATGCTCCTGGTACTTTGGATCTCACTGCATTTATCACTTGTTGACTGAGATGATTTCACATTTGGATGTATTCAGGATGAGACCCATTTCCAGTCCCCGTGTCATCACCTGTGTAAGATCATCTAGGAGGGACTCCTTTGTACCTGCTAGTGTACCATCATCCAGGAACCGGATGTTCAGCTCAGTGGTCAGTCTGGCTGTGATTTCCCAAATTATGTATGTATGTATGTATATATATATATATATATATAATATATATATAATATATATATATATATATATATATAATATATATATATATATATATATATATATATATATAATGTTCTATCGTGCCGGATAAGTAAAACTTGCGATTTTGGCTTAAATAGCAAACGCTCTTCTTGCCGAATAAGGCAAGCGAAAATTTGTGTATGCAATCATTTCGCAAAAATCATTCTGAACCTGCCGAAAATAAAATATTTCATTTTACTTGTTTATTATTGAATTATTGTAACATTACCTAAAACTTATTTAGTTGGATTAGGCTAAATTAAATTGCGCTTGTTATAATAAAATTAGGTAAGTTTTCTAAGGTTCTTTTGGTACAAAATTATTAATTTTTACATTAACATAAATGAAAAAAAAATATCTGAAAACGTATAAGAGAAAATTTTAGAAATGACTTAATTTTAAAAGAATCCTTGCTAATAGACCAGTTTTACCTATTCGGCGCACAATATATATATATATATATATATATATATATATATATATATATATATATATATATATATATATATATATAATATATATATATGTATATAATTTGGGAAATCACAGCCAGACTCACCACTGAGCTGAACATCTGGTTCCTGGATGATGGCACACTAGCAGGTACAAAGGAGTCCCTCCTAGATGATCTTACACAGGTGATGACACGGGGACAGGAAATGGGTCTCAACACTAATCTCAGGCCGAAAGAGACTCGAACCTACGAACCTTGGGACAAGGTACGCAGTTGCTGGGAGCCCAAGTATTGGACCAGTGTGATATAATAAGTAGAGTACTGTGTACCGTGTCCCAACTCCAAGGTTCGTAGGTTCGAGTCTCTTTCGGCCTGAGATTAGTGTTTGTGAATATTTTGTATGCAGATGTAGTATACACAGACTTTGCAAAAGCTTTCGACAATTGTGACCATGGTGTAATAGCACACAAAATGCGTGATAAAGGAATAACAGGAAAAGTTGGTAGATGGATCTACAACTTCCTGACAAATAGAACACAGAGTAATAGTAAAGTCTGAGGCAGCTACGGTGAAAAGTTCTGTTCTACAAGGCACAGTACTCGCGCCCATCCTCTTCCTTATCCTCAAATATGACAGAGATGTAAGCCATAGCTCCGTGTCTTCCGTTGCGGATGACACCGAATTGCTATAACAGTGACCTCCATTGAAGACACCGCAAGACTCAAGCGGACATCAACCAAATCTTTAAATGGGCCACAGAAAACAATATGAAGTTCAATGAAGAGACATTTCAACTAAGATATGGGAAACTTGAGGAAATTAAATCTGCATCAGGGTATAAAAGAAATTCTAACCATACAATAAAGTGAAAAACTAATGTGAAGGACCTGGGAGTGATAATGTCAGAGGATCTCACCTTCACAGATCACAACAATGTATCTACGTCATCTGTTAGAAAAGCGATAGGATGGATAATGAAAATCTTCAGAACTAGAGACACCAAGTCCATGAGGATTCTCGTTTCTCTCTAGGCTGGAATACTGCTGTACACTAACGACCCCCTTCAAGGCTGGCGGAATTGCTGAGCAGGAGAGCGTACAAAGAACTTTCACGGCACACATAAGTACAATAAGGCACCTAAATTACTGGGAACGGTTAAAGCCCTTGATTTGTATTCCCTGGAGCTCAGGCGAGAAAGATATATGATAATATACACTTGGAAACTTGCACACGAAAATCACTCTATATGAAAGCAAAAGACTCGGCAGGATATGTAACATCCTCCCATGAAAAGAAGGGGCTCCACGAGTACATTTAGAGACAACACAGTAAGTGTCAGGGGCCCAAGATTGTTCATCTGCCTTCCAGCATACATAAGGGGGGTTACCAATAGACTCCTGGCAGACTTCAAGAAGGCGCTAGACAGGCACCTAAAGTCACTACCTGACCAGCCGGGATGTGGTTCTTACGTCGGTTTACGTGCGGCCAGCAGAAACAGCCTGGTTGATCAGACCCTGATCCACCACGATGCCTGGTCTCAGACCGAGCCGCTGGGACGATGACCCTCGAAACCCTCTCCAGGTATATATATATATATATATATATATATATATATATATATATAATATATATATATATATATATATATAATGTCGTACTGAATAGGTTAAACTTACGATTATGGCTTAAATAGCAACGCTTTTCTTGCCGAATAAGGCAAGCGAAAATTTGTGTATGCAGTAATTTCACAAAAATTATTCTTAACCTAACGAAAAAAATATATTTCATTGTGTTTGTTATTAAATTATTGTTAACTTATCTAAAATATATTTAGCTGAATTATGCTAAATTAAATTGCGCTTAATATAATAAGGTTAGGTAAGTTTTCTAAGGTTCTGTTGGTACAAAACTATTATTTTTTATAGTAACATAAATGAAAAAAATGTATCTTTAAATGTATAAGAGAAAATTTTAGAAAGGACTTAATTTTAAATGAGTTTTTGCTGATTGACCAATTTTTACCAATTCGGTATGATATATATATATATATATATATATAATATATATATATATATATATATATATATATATATATATATATATATGTCAGGAGTCTGAGAGAGTTAGAGCTAAGGAAGGGGTAGCAATAATGTTGAAGGATCAGTTATGGAAGGAGAAGAGGGAATATAAATGTATAAATTCCAGGATTATGTGGATTAAAGAAAGGGTTGGATGCAAAAAGTGGGTCATAATAAGCGTGTATGCACCTGGAGAAGAGAGGAATGTAGAGGAGAGAGAGAAATTTTGGGAGATGTTAAGCGAATGTATAGGAACCTTTGAACCAAGTGAGAAAGTAATTGTGGTAGGGGACCTAAATGCTAAAGTAGGAGAATCATTTAGAGAGGGTGTGGTAGGTAAGTTTGGGGTGCCAGGTGTAAATGATAATGGGAGCCCTTTGATTGAACTTTGTATAGAAAGGGGTTTAGTTATAGGTAATACATATTTTAAGAAAAAGAGGATAAATAAATATACAAGACATGATGTAGGGCGAAATGACAGTAGTTTGTTGGATTATGTATTGGTAGATAAAAGACTGTTGAGTAGACTTCAGGATGTACATGTTTATAGAGGGGCCACAGATATATCAGATCACTTTTTAGTTATAGCTATAGTGAGAGTAAAAGGTAGATGGGATACAAGGAAAATAGAAGCAGCAAGTAAGAGAGAGGTGAAGGTTTATAAACTAAAAGAGGAGGTAGTTAGGGTAAGATATAAACAACTATTGGAGGATAGATGGGCAATGGGGTCGAAGTTGTATGGGGCAGGTTTAAGAATGTAGTGTTAGTGTTCAGCAGAAGTTTGTGGATATAGGAAAGTGGGTGCGGGAGGGAAGAGGAGCGATTGGTGGAATGATGTAAAAATAGTAGTAAGGGAGAAGAAGTGATGCAAGGAGGGAGGATTATATGGAAAGAAAAATAGTGGTTAAGAGAATGGTGAAGCAATGTAAAAAGAGAGCAAATGAGAGAGTGGGTGAGATGTTATGGAGTGAGATTAACAAGTTAAGGAAGCCTAGAGAACAAAGGGATTTGTCAGTTAAAAAATAGGAGAGGAGAGTTATTAAATGGAGAGTTAGAGGTATTGGGAAGATGGAGGGAATATTTCGAGGAATTGTTAAATGTTGATGAAGCTAGGGAAGCTGTGATTTCGTGTATAGGGCAAGGAATAATAACATCTTGTAGGAGTGAGGAAGAGCCAGTGTGAGTGTGGGGGAAGTTCATGAGGCATTGGGTAGAATGAAAGGGGGTAAGGCAGCTGGGATTGATGGGATAAAGATAGAAATGTTAACAGCAGGTGGGGATATAGTTTTGGAGTGGCTGGTGCTATTATTTAATAAATGTATGGAAGACGGTAAGGTACCTAGGGATTGGCAGAGAGCATGCATAGTTCCTTTGTATAAAAGCAAAGGGGACAAAAGAGAGTGCAAAAATTATAAGGGAATAAGTCTGTTGAGTATATGTAGTAAAGTGTATGGTAGTTATTATTGAAAGAATTAAGAGTAAGACAGAGAAGAGGATAGCAGATGAACAAGGAGGCTTTAGGAAAGGTAGGGGGTGTGTAGACCAAGTGTTTACAGTGAAACATATAGGTGAGCAGCATTTAGATAAGGCTAAAGAGATTTTTGTGGCATTTATGCATTTGGAAAAGGCGTATGACAGGGTAGATAGGGAGTAATGTGGCAGATGTTGCAGGTGTATGGTATAGGAGGTAGGTTACTGAAAGCAGTGAAGAGTTTTTACGAGGATAGTGAGGCTCAGGTTAGAGTATATAGGAAAGAGGGAGATTATTTCCCAGTAAAAGTGGGCCTTAGACAAGAATGTGTGATGTCACCGTGGTTATTCAATATATTTATAGATGGGAGTGTAAGAGAAGTGAATGCGCAGGTGTTGGCAAGAGGTGTGGAGTTTAAAGATAAAAAATCAAACACAAAGTGGGAGTTGTCAGTTGCTTTTTGCTGATGACACTGTGCTTTTGGGAGATTCTGAAGAGAAGTTGCAGAGGTTGGTGGATGAATTTGGTAGGGTATGTAAAAGAAAAAAATTAAAAGTGAATATAGGAAAGAGTAACGTTATGAGGATAACAAAAAGATTAGGTGACGAAAGACTGGATATCAGATTGGAGGGAGAGAGTATGGAGGAAGTGAATGTATTCAGATATTTAGGAGTGGACGTGTCAGCAGATGGGTCCATGAAGGATGAAGTGAATCATAGAATTGATGAAGGGAAAAGGGTGAGCAGTGGACTCTGGAGTCTGTGGAGACTTTGCTTCCAAGAACTTTGTCCTTGTAAGCAAAGAGGGGAATGTATGAGAGTATAGTTATACCAACACTCTTGTTTGGGAGTGAAGCATGGGTGATGAATGTTGCAGTGAGGAGAAGGCTGGAGGCAGTGGAGATGTCATGTCTGAGGGCAATGTGTGGTGTGAATATAATTCAGAGAATTCGTAGTTTAGAAGTTAGGAGGAGGTGTGGGATTACCAAAACTGTTGTCCATAGAGCTGAGGAAGGTTGTTGAGGTGGTTCGGACATGTAGAGAGAATTGAACGAAACAGAATGACTTCGAGAGTGTATAAATCTGTAGTGGAAGGAAGGCGGGGTAGGGGTCGGCCTAGGAAAGGTTGGAGGGAGGGGGTAAAGGAGGTTTTGTGTGCGAGGGGCTTGGACTTCCAGCAAGCATGCGTGAGTGTATTTAACAGGAATGAATGGAGACAAATGACGTGCTGTTGGAGTGTGAGCAAAGTAACATTTATGGACTGATGAAGACACTGTGTGGCGAAACGTTTCCTCAATAATGATACCCAAGAGTTAGTTTGCACATATGTCTAATTTATCAACGTGTCGGTTCTCTGAACCATTCATCTACAATCCTGTCTGACACTGCAACTTCTTGGGATCTTAATACTTGGGAATTCTTCGCTTGCCTAACCCTTGGGCACGACCTACTTTCACAATGGTCAAATGTGACACCACCTACGACTGCTGCACCTCTCCTGCCTACGGTATATAAGCTCCTTCTCCGCACATATACTGTATTCTTTTCAAGATTGATGGACTGACCACATCGACTCAAGGCTGAGGGACTGATTACCTCAAACTCCTCCTGTTCTCCTCCATTCTCCTTTGTATGGACTGATGAAGCCACGGTGTGGCGAAACGTTTCCTCAATAAAGGTACCCAAGAGTTGCACATGTGCCTAATTTATGAACGTGTCGGTTCTCTGAACCATTCATCTACACACATGAACGTTATAAATGTACTGAGACTTCTAACTGTATTCCTGTGATATTCAGATTAACTGTTTACTTCTCTCCTAATATTATTCAGAATCTTTTACACAGATATATCAAAGCTACATAAAAAAATCAAGGCTCTTTCTTTTGTTAGAATAATTAAATGTGTGATGGAATCCACAATGACTGTACATTAATTCCTTTCTATATGATTTTCTAACATCTACTGTACAGATACCTGGCTTCACCGGTGAGCATGTTCTAAAAGTTATTATGTGAATCCAGTGCCTTTAGTGATCAGAATTAGTAATAATCAAGGAATCAAGTTGATTATCGTAAGGTAGGTTGGCAAACAATTTGGTTTGTAATGTAGAAGCCTAGGTGTTAATTGTTATGCATAATTCAACATGGTAAGCTGAGTCATTGATGATACTCTTCAGATCACTTGTTCTCCCCAGCCTGGAATACTACTGTATACATTCATTCAACATCTGAATTGTTTGAAAGCTTGAGGTTTCTTTATTTGTATTCCTTGGTACACATGCGAGAAAGGTACACCGTAATTTACTCCTGGAAAATCCTGGAAGGAATCGTCCTAGACCTGCAAACCTTAAACACTCCATATGAAAACAAAAGACAACAGACGGTGCAGAGTATCTCCAATTAAAAGTAGGGGCATAATGAGCACACCAAGAGAGAACTCGTTAAGTGCCAGAGGTCTTTTGTCTTTCAACGCCCCTTACTAGATGCATGCAGAAAATTACCAACAAACTTCTAGCTGTATTCAAGGACCTAGACATGTTCCTCAAATCGGTTCCTGACCAGCTGGACTATGGAAGAACTTCGTGCGGCCAGCAGTAACATCCTGGTTGAAGATGCCTTGATTCACTGGGAGGCTTTTTCTATGACCAGGCCACGGGGGCACTGACCCCTGCCGGTAGCGTCATCCAGACATCCTTCAAGTAACATGGTTGCTGTTATTCTCATCTGGGGAGGTGGGAACAAGTGGGGATGTAGGCCTGCCAGTATTATTATAATAAAAAAAGAAGCGCTAAGCCACAAGGGCTGCCCTGCCAGTAGACTGCACAGATCAACTGGTGTACATAATTTGTGTTATGTTCTTACTAAGTTAAGCGAAAAAAATCTTGAGTAATTTCCTTTGCAACTGATTTAAGAAGGGGATTACTTGTGATGAGCTCCTTGGGAGTAACTTTAATATATTTGTGATATTAATACAGCTTCTATGAAATGCTCTTGTCTGTATATAGAGATACAGTTCATACAGATTATAAAACGTTTTCACAATCTATTTAGGTTTTAACTACTTCTAGACATCAGTAAGGTTTACAGTGTCAGTTGCTGGGACGATGTAATAACCATCTTTCTTCCTTTGGACAGATCAAGACATTCAAGAAGCACTTCGAGGTGTTGGGAATGTCTGGAACGATCAGTCGTGGTGGCGCCCACCTTCATATCTGTCTGAGTGACGACCAGGGCGGCACCCTGGGTGGTCACGTGATGGGCGACCTGGTCGTCTTCACCACCATGGAGATCGCTCTTGGGGAAGCTACTGATGTTATTCTTGACCGCCAGGATGACCCTGCCACTGGATACGATGAACTGACTGTAACTAAAGACCAGGCCTGAAACAAGCCTACCACCACCTATGATAAACTGCGTGAAACTGAAGATCAGGCTTTAAATAAGTCTGTCATCAAAATGCTGTTTCTAGGGCTTCTATGTAGCCGGCTCTGTCTCGTTTAAAGCCTAATCTTTTTTTACAACCAGTTCATGTATGATTAGGTAACTGCACAAAGACTAGACTTTAAATAAGCTTACTACTGGTTACAATGAATTAATTATAAATCAAAACTAGGCCTAAAACAAGTTTATCACCAGGCTATCAGTAACTGCTTATAACTAATGACTTCACCTGAAAAAAGCCTGCCATTAGGTACCTTGAACTGTAAATGCTAGGACTAAAGCGCCTAATATCAAATATTTTCATGTAGTGAGTGTAAACACAGAATATTACTCATTAACTGAAAATTTTGTATCTTCCTATTTTGTAATTATATTGTTATACTAGCAGAATAATAGGGCTTTGCCCATACGTTGTTTCTCATAAAGTTTTACAGTGTATTAACGTTAATGGGAAATACTCTTGCTTTAGTAAATCTTATGAGGATTTCTTAAGTCGTCTTCCGTTACCCACCTCGTCATGAGGCAGATCTGGTGGTCTCGCACCTGCCTTGTTAGGAGGCGGGTGTGAAGAAGCTAGAACGTCAGATTTCGTCAGGAGGCGAAACCTTAATTTTTCGTTCTCGTTCTCCAGTTGTGCTAAATTTGAGACTTAAAATTGATCAGGTTTGTTTAGAAATATGATTTTTTTTTTAATCAGTATAAAAAGAGCTTTGAAATTATGTCTCACAACCTAGTGCAGCCATAACAAAGTGGCGCCAAGGACCACGCCACCAAATAACAATTTTGAAACGTTGGTTATGTTATGAAATCAGTATAAAAGAACTTCAAAATTATATACTATTCAACATAACACAACCCAAAAAAAGCCTTCCTTCCGTGAGTAGCGCTGCCAACCCCCCCCCCCAAAAAAAAAAAAAAAATGGAACGCTGTGGAGACTAATGCCTAGTTGTACTGGCGTGTATAGAGACTGAATTATGAAAACGAATTAATAAACCAGCAAAAATACTGTACTTGGTATAGTATAATACTGTAATGAAATACAGTGTCTCCCCGAAGCGGTGTATTGTATAACGAAGTACTGTATGTTTCATTACTGCTGTGTATTTTATAGTGAAGTACAGTATGTACTTACCTAATTGTGGTTGCAGGGGTCGAGACTCAGCTCCTGGCGCAGCCTCTTCACTAATTGCTACTAGGTCCTCTCTCTCTGCTTCCAGAGCTTTGTCATACCTCGTCTTAAAGCTATGTATGGTTCCTACCTCAACTATATCATTGTTAAGCTATTCCACTTCCAGTTTGGAACCCACACCTGGGTTCCAAACTGGTGCTGCATACTCCAGTATGGGCCTGACGTACACAGTGTCTTAAACGATTCCTTACTATGGTGTCGGAACGCTATTCTCAGGTTTGCCAGGCGCCCGTATGCTGCAGCACTTATCTGGCTGATGTGTGCCTCTGGAGACATGCTCGGTGTTATGGTCACCCCAAGATCTTTCTCCTTGAGTGCTTGTGCAGCTGAAGTATATTTCACTGCAGCTGAGTATGCTGTATTAAAGTGCAGTTTGTATTGCTGCAACTGTATTATATTGAATTACAGTATGTCATGTATTTTTTTCTTCTTGTTTAAACAAAACACAATAACTGAAATTTAAATAAGTATATAGATAACCTAGTAATATTTCTTTTAGTTCACATGTAAATTAAATCTACACAAAGATACATATACACTTCCTTTAACACTAAGAGAATAATTTTTGTTTGAGGAATAACGAACCAGTTATAGAACAGTGATCTTTTTCAGGAATTTGTTTACACATATACAAATAACCTTTATATCGGACACAAACATTTAACAAAATTTACACAACTCAAAATGAGTCTTATGTTTTCTTGTTATAAGGGTCACTATCAGTGCAAGTTTAAGGACGATCGGAAAAGATATTCTACAGCAAATAATTTGATTTTAATAATCCCAAGCTTTCAGAATAAAAAGGCATATTACAGAATGACATACTGTAAAAAGGTACCATTACTTACACTACCAGCCTTTCCACTACCACTGTTTCTTTTCTTTCCTTTGTCCCGTCCCTTTTCCCCTCATATATATACTGGCTCCCTCACTCTTGTGTGTTAGTGTGACTTTGTATTATTATTATAATCAAAAAGAAGCGCTAAGCCACAAGGGCTATACAGCGCTGCAGGGTAGGGAAGGAAGCAAGGGAATTGGATGGCAGAAGGGAGGAGGGATGATCAGCAGGTTACAGAAAACAGCGGGGCAGGGGATAGTACGGGGGTAGAGGGTAGCAAGAGATTCAAGTAGAAAGGGCTGAAAGTATCAGAATTTGTGAAGTAAGTCAGTCGTTGTCAAAAAGTCAATGAGAGAGTCCGGATGAAAGGTGGGTCCATCAGCGAGAAGGGAAGGTAAAGAGAGAGCAGCGGGGCGAAGACGACGACAGAGGAAAATTCTGCGTGCTCGTGAAAAAGTGGGCAGTCCACAGAATGTGGCTGACTGATAATGGAGCTTGGCAATTCTCACAGAGAGGAGCAAGACGCCCTCCATGAGATACCATGATAAGACGAGTAGGGCCCAAATGCGAAGACGGGAGAGAGTAGTCTCCCAACCTCGACACTGGTGTTTAAGAAGAGGGCCCATAACCTATACTCTTTAATAGACTGAAGTTTGTTTGCCGAGCATAGTAGACCAACGTTGTTGCCAACGGGTGTAAAGGGTGGGAAGATATTACAAGCAAAATAGTCGTACATGGAATACCTCTATAAGAAATTGGTAGGTCATGTACTGCTGACCGCGCAGCAGTGTCTGCCTGTTCATTGCCCTGTACGTCAACAGCCCGGGGACCCAACAAAAACAATATCTTTATGCTTGGTAAAGATGCGGCATAGCCAAAGTTGGATACGGGGGACTAAGGGGTGAGGTGTATCAAATTTTTGTATAGCCTGTAAAGCACTAAGGGAGTCTGAAAACAACCACAAATGATGACACAGGCATAGATGCAATCGGATAAGTGCTGAAAGGGAAATGGCATATAATTCAGCAGTAAAAATACTAGCCGAAGATAGAAAATGCCCTTGTACGACGCTGTCCGGAAACACTGCTGCGAATCCTACGCCGTCAGAAACTTAGAGCCATCTGTGTACACAGCAATGGCTAGAATGAGAGTGAAAGTGGTCAAGAAAAAGAGAGCGGGAAGCGACCGTAGACAGTTGGGCTTTCGAGCAAGGGAGGGAGAAAGAACAGACTCGAACAGCTGGAACTTCCCAGGGGGTAGGGGAAAAGTGAGATGCTACATGTACATAGAAGGTGGTAGTTGAAGAGAAGACAAGAGCGAATGAAGGCGAAGAGAAAAGGGGACGGAGAAAGCAGGGGCGGCGAACAAATAAAGAATGTCTACTAACATCAGTGACCATTCTATAAATGGAAGGATTGCGGAGATCATGAGAGCGTACATAGTAGCGCAGGAAAATGGGCATCACGGCGATCGGATAAGGATGGAACGTTCGCTTCTGCATAGAGGCTTTTGACAGGGGAAGAGCGAAAGCCCCAAAGGGCATAAACGTAATCCTTGGTGATGAATGGGGTTAAGGCTAGAGAGGTAGCAGGAGATCCCGCAGAATAGATCTGGTCACCATAATCAAGTTTCGATAAAATAAGGGTGGAATGTAGGTGAAGGAGGGTTCGACGATCAGCTCCCACGAAAGATGACAAGGGTTTTAAGAAGGTTCAGCCGGCTGTGACAAGTTTCCTTCAGAGAGGTAATGTGAGGTTTTCCCGGATAACCTACGATCAAAGTGGAGGCCCAGAAACTTTACTGTATCACGTTCAGGGATACGGGAGCCATAGAGGTAAAAAAGGATGATCGGAGATGACAGAGCGTCTAGTGAAAGTGATTTGGTGGGTTTTAGTGCTGGAAAATTTAAACCCCTGGTTTGGTGGCCCAATTGGAAACACGGTCGACTGCATGCTGGAGGAGAAACTGTAAGGAGGGACAGTCACGCCTGCACAGCAATAGCGAAGTCATCAACATAGAGTGATGACCAAATATTTGATGGAAGACTAGAGGCCAAATCATTTAAAAGCAAGGAGAAAAAAAGTGTTGTGCTCAGAACACATCCCTGGGGGACACCTTTACTTGGGTAAAGTCCGGGGAGAGCACATCATTAACCCGAACACGGGAAAAGCCTGCAGTTAAAAAGTTCTTAAGGAAGGATGGTAGATTTCCTCGAAGGCCTAAGGAGTGGGCTTGGGCTAAAATTTTTATACCTCCAAGTTGTGTCATATGCCTTTTCAAGGTCAAAAAATATGGCAATAACCGAGTGGTGATTCGCAAAGGGGATTACGACATACGTATCCAAGCGCAGTAAGGGGTCTATGGTAGAACGTCCCTTACGAAAAACCATATTGACGAGTGGAGAGACTGTTGTGTGTCTCTAAAAAACCACACTAAACGTCTATTTACTAGACGTTCCATTACTTTGCAAACTGCACTGGTAAGAGCAATGGGACGATAGTGGGAGGTTTCATGTCCCATAGTGCCTGGTTTGCGGAAAGGGAGAACATGGCGGATTTCCACAGCTGTGGAAGAACTCCTTGTGACCAAATAAGATTTTTAAAGGCGTAATAGGACTGCAAAGGCTGACTGAATGTAAATGTTGTAGCATACGAATATGAATGTCGTCGGGCCCAGCTGCCGATGATCGACAAGCTGAGAGTGTTGCCTCCAGTTCTTTAAGTGTAAAAGGCACATTATACTGTTCTTCTCTGAGAGAAGAAAAGTCCAAGGGTGCTAACTCCCCTGGCAGACTTTGAGGAAAGAAATGAGGGGCATAGATGGAGTCCCTGAGAAATACGGACCAGATGATTGCCAATTTCATTGGCAACATCTAGTGGGTTTGCTATATCAACACCGGCAACCCGCAGAACAGGAGCCGGGTCAGGAGAATATTACCACTCAGTTTTCGTACTTTTTTCCAGACGCACTCAAGAGGAAGCAGAGGTGATGGTGGAGACAATCTCGCCAGCAAGTGCGTTTAGCGTCACGGATGACACGGCGAGCGATCGCACACTTCTGTTTAAAATCAAGGAGTCGCTCTGTGGTTCTATTGTACCGGTACCTGCCCCATGCAGCGCGTTTCAAACGTACATGCACACAGCACAGCAGGAGACCACCAAGGCAACGCATTTCTGAGAATGCCTGCCCGAAGTTTGGGGTATAGAATGAGAAGCTGCGGTGAAAACAGAGGACGAGAAGAGGTGTAAAAGCTCATCGATGGAGGACGAAGAAGGAACCTCTTTAAAACAGTCAGGTGTGAGTAAGGTTCCAATTGCCGATTAAATTGCCAGCGTGGGGTGCGAAGAGTGGCGAATAATGAAGGGAAGTAAGAATGATTGGGAAATGATCACTGTCATGTAAGTCCGGGAGAACAGACCAAGTGAAGGTCTAATGCGGCAGAGAAGAGCACACTGAGAGATCGATGCAAGAGAGAGTATGAGTCCGAGGATCAAATGGGTGTGAGTACCTGTATTTAAAACATGGAGGGGTGGGTGGCAAGAAAAGCCTCTAACTGAATTCCACGGAATCACAGTGAGACCCCCCCCAGAGGAAATGGTGGGCATTAAAATCACCAAGTAACAGAATCGTGTGCGGTAATGACGAAACAAGGAAGGCAAAATCCGGAATAGATAATGCCCGAGAAGGAGAGAGATATAAAGAACAGAGCGTATACCACCTATGTAAGTGGATACGGGCTGCTGTGTAATGCAGCGAAGTATGAACAAATAAGCTGATGGTACGGAATATCAGTGCGGAGAAGAAGGGCACTTTCATTAAAGGTCCCATCAGGAAAAGGATCTGAAGAATACAATAAATTATAGCCTGAGATGTGAGAAATAACAGCAGAGTGTAATTTTGGTTCCTGTAAGCAAACACCAACAGGGGCAAACTGGAGAGTAACATCTGAAGCTCACCCCGATTACCCCTGAGGCCGCGTATATTCCACTGTAAAAAGCCATGATTGGCAATGATAAAGATACTTGAAATCCGCAGGTAAGGGTTTCCTACGGACTAGAAGGGTTAGAAAAGTCCACATGCGGAGGCAGTGGAAAATGTTCAAGCAGCGAAGGAACGGTGCGCTGTGAAGAAAGGAGTTGCGCAGATGGAGCAGAGGAGAGAGAAAGAGCGGAAGGTGGATCAGTGTCCATTGATGGTTTGGTCTCTGCAATATATTCAGAGATTGCTTCAAGTGTTTCGGAATTCAGAGATGTCGTATGGGAGACAATATTGGGAATGGTAGGGGGAGGATGAGTAAAGATTGGAACTGTATTGGACTGTACCAAGGTAGGGGGGGGGGCGAAAGGGTGGAGGGAACTGGAGAAGCGTGGCAGGGACAGAAGAGACAGAACCTGGGAGGTGGCAGAAGAGGAAGAAACCTGGGAGGAACAGGGAGGAAGGTACATTATGAGGAGGAGGGTGAACCTCTGCACTTGTAACTGAGGCCAGTGAGAGGGGAAGAACTAGGGACAGAGACAGGGAGGGTAAAATGAGGAGGTGGAAGATGGGTAGGAGGTGTTACCGGACCTTTTTTTGACTTTTGAGAAGTAGAGGGACGATTGGGAAGAGGTGTCGTACGAGGTCTCGTCGATACTGAGGCTTGTAAGAGAGAACTCGAAGAAGCGAGATTAGACTGAGGCGTTGAAGTAGGGACGTCTGAGCCGAGGACAGCAAAAGATTAGATACAGGAGTGATTATGGGAGAGGTAACCACAGAGGTGGGTGTAGAAGATGGGATACCAGAAGTGGGGGGACGTTTTTGAAACACGGGAATAAGAAACACGTGGGAGTCTCCCTTGGAGGCGGAGATAGAAACTGCCATGGCATAAGGGAGACCTTCTGTCTCTTGAGGTAATGGATTTCCCGCTCGTTTAAATAGACCTGACAACGG